CCCCCGAGAGTCCCGCGCCGCCCGCCAGCAGCGCGACTGTGGTGGTCGGCTCCGTCCACAGCACAGGGTGCGCCGCCTCGTCGTACGCCCCGAGCAGCGCCTGGCTCGCGCGCTGGCCCGCGGCCGCGGCGGTGGCGGCGGCGGCGGCGGCGGTCTCTTCGGCCTGGAGGGGGCACGGGCGGCGGCGGGAAGCTCACGGGAGGGGGGGGGGGTCCGCCACAGCAGCGGCGGCGGCGGCGGCGGCGGCGGCTCCTCCTCTCTGCCGGAGCCAAGCCGGGCCCTGGCAGACTGACGTGGGACCGGCCGCCGCAACCTGGTGTTTGCGGCACGACTGGCTGCAGCCCTAGCCCCAGCCCCTCCCCTCCCCGTGCCTCAGCCGCAGCCCCAGCCTCAGTGCCCGCCCCAGACCCAGACCCAGCTGGCCGGCAGCCCCTGTGTTGTTCGACTCCAGGGAGTAAACATAAAGAGGGAAAAATGGAAAAGGATGCGCACCTCGCCGATTGGCGGCTCCTCGTGTCCGGCCGCCACCAGCGCTGACGTGGCAAGGCGCCGCTCAAGCTCGCCCTTTGTGCCCTCGTCGCTCTCCCCGCGCGCGCGCAGCTCGTCACGCAGCTCCCGCAGGGTCATCTTGGCCAGCTGTGGGACGAGTGTGTGTGTGTGTGTGTGTATGCGCGCGTGTGTGCGCGAGCATGCGTGTGTTGGTGGTGGGGCCATGCACGCGCGCTTTCGTATGCAAGTGTGTGTGACCGCGCTCACACTTGACGTTGGGGCAAGTGAGAGGGTGTTCACGCGTCAAAGCGCGGTGACACCCAGAGCTGCAGTCAGTCGGTGCCAAGGCGTCCTTGCGCGCCATGGCACCCCCTGAGAACGCAACACATCATCGGTGGCGCCGACCTGAAGCCGGCCTCTTCACAGCCGGAAGCAGGTGCCCCAACACTCACACACACACACACACACACACACACACACACACACACGAACACAAACACACACACACACAACCTCTCTGTCCCCATCACCCTGCCTCGTTCCTCATTTGACGCGCCCTCAGCGCCCCAACCACCCGCCACCCCCGGGAAAAAAAAACAACTCAGGCGGCTCACCTCCTCCATGAGCGTGGGCCTGTCGCCCTGCTTTACCGCCACGTGCGCCGCCAGCACCGTCAGCAGCCTGTCGCGGCACTCGTAGCGGCCGCCCTCCTCCGACATGCCCAGGGTGCGCAGCGCCTCCCGCAGGTCACGCACCTGGGGGGGGGGGTGGCGAGTTGTTCAAGTGGTGAAGGTGGGCAGGGTGCTTGGGGGGGCCGGGTGAGCAGGTCAACGAAGGAGGGCGCCCCCCGTCCACACTGGGAGACGCGCCTGACCACCTTTCACTGCCCCCTTCAAAGTCACAGACAGCACGAACCCAGGTGCCCGCCCTCGGCCCCAACCCCACCCCTTGTATTGCGCCCACCTTCATGCCGCGTATGTCCTGCCCTGTCACACTGTCCAGCAGGAATGCCTTATCCCCATAAAACAGCCCTGGTGCCTGGGGCCCCTCCGTCCGGCGCGCCGCCTCCTCTGCCGCAGCCGCGCGCCCGCGCCCGCGCTTCCGCGGCTGCTCGTCCTGCTGCTGCTCCTCGTCCTGCTGCTGCTGCTGCTGTTGCTGCTTCTGCTGCTGCTGCGCCTCGATCATGTCAACCTCCTCTGCAGCCAGCACCCAGCTCGCGCGAGCCGCCAGCTCCTCCTATCGATATCAACCGTGCATGTGTTGGGGCACATGAGATCGAAGCCACAAGCTCAAAGCGGCAGAGTCCCGACCACGATGTGGAAAAAGCAGCCGCAGGCGCTCGGCGCGCGGCTTACCGCGATTGCCCGCCCGCCACGCCCCTGCCGGCCCCTGGCCCGCCCCATTGGCATTCCCCTTTGGGGCCGGCGCCGCGAGCGCAAGCGCTTCGCCCCTCCGGACGCACGGACGCACAGCCGTGCGGGGGCGCCCTCGCGCGCAGCACGCGCCTGCGTCTCCAGCGGTTCCACGGTCTGCCCCGCCTGCTGCAGCACAGAAACGAGCTCCTCGCGCGCCACCTGGGAACACGCACGACGGGAACAAACGTCAACGTGGACGGCCCCTGCACGCCGCCACTGCATGCGCCCCATGCACACACATGCGCGCTGCTCCGGGTCGCCGCTGCCAGCACGCGGGCGCCGCTGCTCATCCATATCACCCAGATCGCCAAGCGACCGCAGATCTCGGACCCCCTCAGATCACGCCACGGCCTCATCCCCCAGATCGCCCACCTCCAGCAGCTCCGGCACCAGCTGCTGCTGCCGGTCTGCCAGCAGCCACTCCCGCTCGCTGGTGGGCAGCGCACCACCGCCCGCGGCCGCGGCAGCTGCGGCGCCGCCGCCGCCGCCTTGCTCGGCGGGGCCCTCGGCCTCGCCGCCGCCGGCGAAGCCTTGGCCGACCTCGCTGCGGCGCGGGGCGCGGGCAAGAGCGGAGCCGTCGCCCCTGGTCAGCTCATTGAATACCGGCCGCAGGCCGCGCGTGCCCCGGCCCCCTGCACTACAAAAACACCAGCCGACTGCAGACGCGCACGCGTGCGCATCAAACACGCCGCCCGCCCCCGCC